TGATATCTTAAAATTGTAACGCGATGTAACGAAGATATATAGATAAAGAAACGAAATGAATGATGTATTAAATTAATACGAGGCTTGTATATTAATTTATTTGCATGTATTGTGAGTAAATGATATTGTATTTTTTTTATGGATGACTAACTGTCCCGCGAACACACACTCAGAATTCATTAATATGTCAAAGGTTTTTTGAAGTTTAGTTACGCAATAAATTTCTGAACGGACATTGACAGGTATGAACAATTTGTATGGGAAAATAAAATTGTTGATTGTACTATTTTCCATGCGATTTCTTCATATTTTCCCACTTCTTGGAGTTCTACAAATTTTCAAAACCAAAATTGGTCATTTCGGTTCAGCCGTTCTCGACTTTTAGCAAGACTATGTAATATTATGTTATTTGTGGCAAAACTATCCGCATGCTCATCTTATCATCCTCCACTGGTGCCCCGCCAGCGTAAACCGTTAACACATACTGGTACACCATTCCATTATCATCCTTAAGACTATATATATAGGTTACACGAATTTCATGATCTTGTGACCCTTATTTAATGGTTATTATAGTACATCTCTGGTTAGTTTAAAACAAGATGGCGCTGTGTGATTTGTCCAGATTTAAATTAATTAATTATTTAAATTAAAAATTTTAATAATTTATTAATATTACTTTGTAGCTTACTAAAATAATATTATTTTATAATAACTTTATGATATTCTTATTCACTAATAGAACATGTATACAGACAGTATGTTGTATGAAAGCTATGATTATTTAAGGACGTAAGTTTCATACAAAATTATATAGCCTCAGATTTTATCCCCCTTCGTTTAGTCTTCGTCCAGTTCCGGGGGTCGGTCTGAGCCGAGGTTTGAACCCCTAGCAGTGTCCTAAACTCGTATCCGTCAGGCGAGAACTGGCCTTCAGACGCTCCATAAGTTCTTCCGCGGGTTTGGAGTGTCATCTGCACTCGCACCCTATTGTTCTGTGAAGCTGTAAAGGGCCAGTTGTGATAACAGCATTAGAGTAGTTCGAAAAAAAACCGATTTCGTGCAGCGTACCGTTATATAAAGAATTTTAAATAATTATTTAATATATATTAATTACTATATGATATTTTTGATCACTGTATAATATTGTCACGGCTCCAAATAAAGGATGCACAATGTAAATTGTTTATAAGAAACTGTATACGTCATTATTTCAAAACTGATTATTTCTAATAATGTCAAGCTAAAGAGCAGACAGGTTACTGCAAATGGCAGCTATTGTAAGTAGGAACCTGGATCTTAATTATGTTTGCTGGAGGAATATTGCCATGTTTAATTTGTTTTAATTGAAATAAAAAATATTTAGAATATATTGTACACTGATTTTAATAGTGACGCCACGGAATGTTCGAGAAGAAGTGAAAAAATGTATATAAAATAACAGCGATGTTCTGTGCCTGACGTTCCAAATTTGAATTTTAATAAATTTATTTTTAAATATATTAAATGGCTATTTGCGATCACAAACAATTATGTAACCATGTTACTAACAATTGTGATTTGAAACGGATTAAAATCTTCTATTTTGAAGTTATGTACACATTATATTATCTGTGTTATGTACGAATCATTTAAGAATTTCAATTATTGATCACAATACTTAGGTCGCATTTGCAATTCTCAAATGACGCACTAGAAATAGCAAACCCATAAGTATTATCCGTTACAATTGAAAATTGTTTAATTACATAATCAAGGCTCTGTTTATGTAACGCATTTGTAATTTGGTAATTTGACAGTTGCAATCGTGAAATGAACAGCTCGTTTTTTTCTGTTTATCTATTGAAAGGCAAAAGGATTATACCTATACATCCATGTCTTATTATTTGTTATATTTTAAAATGTTCAATTTGGTATGTTTGCAACTGTCAAGTGATTCATACATAATCGGAGAACTGTCAATCTGTTTAAAATAAGAACGTGAACATAATCAAATCTACCACAGATGAAACTGTTGAATTGTTTGAAATTTATTTATAGTATCTTCTGTAGATATTAATTAGCCTTAATTTAGAAACGCCAAATTTTTAGACGTTACCCTTTTTTATAGATTCGTTTGATAACGAGTAATTGATATCTAGGGAGGATTTTTCTATGTAAAAGAGTCGTGTAACATGATTCATATCGTAGTTCTGCATATTAATGTGAATTTTCGAAACAAACAATTTATATTCGTTAATATATTTGTTTATATAGGTCTTGATATGTTTTTGAAATGTATTTCTATCAGTTATCTATATGTGATGGATAGATGGAGCTGTATGAGGTGTCCATAGATTATTTCTTTTTTAAATTATTATTAACTAATTTGCTCTGGTAGAAAGACTATAGAAAAATTCAAAGCAATAGATTTTTAAATACATATAGTAGTATACCGAAAAGTAGTCTATTCAATACAAATAGCCATTATCATGAATATAAATAATCGCATTGTGCGTATATCGAACCTACGACTATAGAGTCGCGCTTGACCACTGAGATCGTGAAATATTGAAAATTATTTAATTATTTTTTTAAATGGTCAGATTAAAATCTTTGATTTGAACGCTCTATTATAGTTGTACATGCTCAATATGTGGCAAACTCTTCTCTTGCTAAGGAGTTCGGAGATATATTTACAAAAACAAACACAATAATGTGCTAAGCAATACGCTCTCTACCACACGTAGCCTTATTCGGAGTAAAATTTTAATTGTGTTTTATAAAACCTGTACAGAATAAAAATGCTTCTCCTAAAATGTATGTGTATATAGTTAATAAATTACATATTAAAGTTATGGTATTTATGTTTTCTTTTTAACTTATTATTCTTTATAGGTTATGGGGCAAACTAGCTTGCAGCACGCCTGATGGTAAATAATTAGGTCGAGCTACACGAGGGAATGGTGGGAAGGGGATTGTTAGTAATGTGGACTCATGACCCAATTACTAGCAATGTACCATGTCAGGTTGACCTCCACACGGTTCACCCTGGAAACCATCGTGATAAATTTCTGGTGAATTTGTCACGATGGGCTAACTGACCTGAGACCTCATGCTCATCTTATAGTCCTTCACTGGTGTCCCACCATCATAAACCGACAGCGTAGGCATGGTACATAATTCCATTATCATACTTATAATAGAAATAACACTAAGAGAAAGTGGGAAGGGGAATGATAGTAATGTGGACTAACGATCTCATTACTTGAATTCTACCACGTCAGGTGACCTCCACGCGGTTAGTCCTGGAAACTATCATAATAATTCCTGGTGAATTTGTCACGATGCGCTACTAGTCATGCTCCACTGGTGCATAAAGGTACAGGAAGGAGGCGGATGTGTATCTGGAACATCATCTCACCATAAGCAACGAGATTACACTTATCGCGGGTGTTCTATGGAGGTTGTGGCAACACCGCCAGTTTGACAGTCAGTCGGTTCCCGCGAAAAGGCCGGACACAAAAATGACACAAAGTTGTCACAGTCAAGAAGTTGGAGAACAGTAAAAAAAGTGTTCATTAACTATTAATATCTTAAGAACCACTAATTATAATCACAACCATAGGTGTGATGGACAAGGCCAGAAACCAGAAACGTGCATGCATCGCATGCGGACGCCTCGTCGAAGGGGGCGCCATCACGAGACTCGGATATATACTATAATTTTATTAAAATATGTAACCTATAGAATACTTAATAAATAATCTAACTTAGCTATGAATACGGAGACATAAACCGCGTTAGGATAAAAATTGCATGCGGGCGCTGAGGACCCTAGCGTCGGCCCTGGACAAGGGCTTTCGCATCAGCAAGGAATGACGCATGTCCTAACTCCAAAACGTGTATTTACCAGTTTAAGAGGACTCATTCGTTCTACACCATTACGTGTGGCCATATAGCGTACACTACCACTTACATATTTAAGAAAAAAAATAAAGCCATCCCTTAGCGACTGTACACCAAACATCTCATATCAGGAACAGTACTCATTTTCCTATATGGTAGGTTATTTTGTACATTAAAATATTGCTGAACTCATTATGCCTGGCTAGTTAGTCATACTCGTGAACGGATGTCACTTAATGAACTACTCCAATCAATATTGAAGCCTGCGCCAGAAATTAAGATCTACTTCCAAACTGAGAAGAGCTTGTACTTTGGTTATTTAAAATCTGGTGGAGCTATAAGGTTTACAAACGATGGTCTTACCCCTCATTTTTGTATCGCCATAGTCGGGTAAAAATGATTCCTCAATCAGCTATAAAGAAGGTTCATAAAATCATATAAATTTTTCATTATGTACAATTAACATCGGGTACTTCGCGTTTTATGATATATCTACAAAGAGGTAAGTTTACAATTAAAAATATTTTGAATATTAAATGGGAAATTTAACATCGAATAGGGGAAAATATTTCAGGTAGCTGGAAACACTAAGGTTGCCAAGGTAGACATACAGGGCTGATCTAGCAATTTTTCTATTCATTCTGTGCTCTCGTATCTAGTATAACCATCTACTTACTTATCTTTAGTATTTACTACTATAATTCTAGAATACTCGCCAGTGCCCTTAACCCAAACCAAAAATAGGTATGTCTTTAATGACATTTTATTTATTTGGTGTCTATTGATATACTCGATGGTATCCCCAAAAAATATTGAATAGATCTAATTTGCAGAATTCCAGAGCTCTAGAAATACTTTATGGTAAAAGTCATTACAATTATAATAAAATTATAAAGCTTATTTTTTATTATAAATATATGAAATATGATTTTTAGAAGTAGACTAGATTGTTATTAAGTCTGTTATAAATATTAAATGTAGGAAATAGTTTAACACAATTATCACATCTATACACATATTGATTTAGACATTTTACTTTCGGGTTTTGTTAGCCCGAAAAATTTTAATGGTGTTGACAACACTGACCCTGGATATGGCGTTTGTATTCTAATTTGTATCTATTTTGTTTGAAAGTGAGAAACGTCGTCTTGACAACGAATTTAGTGGTTTTATATGGAATAGTTGATTGATTTTTACTATGAATTTGCCAAATTATGGATGATCCCCACAAATTAACAGCAGAAAACAAGGTATGTTTAAAGTTATTATTTAACTACTTAATCCGTTCGAACTTTCGCGTTATTTATATTCTTTGGTGCGTTAAAAATAGTACAGAAATGCATAGCTGCACGGCACACCTGTGTTACGGGGTCCAATCATCATTTACAATAATTAATTTCTCACTATTTCATTCAGGTATCTTCAAAACGCACCTGCTGATTAAAAACCGACGTGAGCTACGAAATTCCATGATGTTTTACCTATTTATACTCTTTGTTTATTTTTAGAAAGTTCTTCCGGATGTCGTGCATTCTCAACAGATTCCCTCTCTGGAATCTGTCGCGTGCGATGACACTCAGTCACCACAAATTGACACAGGGCAGAATGTAGCAGGGGGAAACCGTCCTCACGATGTCGGTGACACTACTGACACCGAGTCTATATCGGAACACATACCTTCCAATGTGGAAGACATTGCCAGTGACTCACTGAATTTGCCTAATGCCCAAGAATCTCAAGGTTTGCTCAATATTGATATAAATGTGGAAGGAGCCTCTACGGACCATTCTTTGAACATTCCTCCAGGTCATACACCTAATAGTGAACACTTTAGTCAACAAGAACCGAGTAGGCAAAGCACTTCTTGGCCACTTGATGTAAATGCTGTATCAGATATGCATCTCCTCAGTGAAGAGAGTCCAATCAATCTAGCACTATCATCAGATTTGTCTAAAGATGGTGTCACACAAGAAAACAAGTCAAATTCTTCAGCACCAACACCTGGTCCGAGTGAACACTATACACCCCAAGAATCTCCTAAAAGTAATGAAAATCTAGACTCTTTAGATGAACAAGATATATCCAGTCATAAATCTGACTTGTCCAAAGATGAACAATCAATAGACAATACAGATAATTCTTTAGAAGTAAATGAAGAATCTCTGGGGAAGCAGAGCTCTGGATCTGAGGAAATAATTAAGTTGGATATAAGAGGTCAAGGCGTACCAAAATTCTCATTACCAACCGCAAAAATTATATTTGGTCCACCACCTGAAGGAGGAACAGTGATTGGTCAGGATACAGAGCATTTACCAATGTTTCCTAACTTATTGTCACCATTTCTAGTTGGTGCTGGTGATAGTGTTAAAGTTGAAGAAGTGTTTGACTTCACTGAACAACAATCGAAAGAAGCATCACCAGACAAATCCATAGATTTATCATTAGACAAATCTCTTGACAAATCACTTGAATTGTCACCTGACAAACAAAGCTTATCTAGTGACAAGATAGACCAAAATGATTTGTTAGTTGAGGAATTATTTATAGATAATGATATTAAAGAAAAAGGTGAGAAAGATGATGAAGCCTCAATGACACCACAGCATAAATCTATACCACCGGAAGATATGTCACTCAGTACACTAACAACAGACTACAAAACAATATGTGAAGAATATCATGAGAAGGTATTTGCAATTGTTAATGGGTTGTGCTTCTGCGCTTACCTGCTCTGTGCCATCACCCTGTGTTTACTGATCCTGCTTATGATACCTGTGGCATGCTACATCCTAATGATTTGCAAATTCCATTTCTTACTTTACAGCAATGTTTTACACCATATTTGTTTGTGTTAAATAATTTTTATATTTTCCCAGTTTTTGTATTTTTTAGTTTCCTGTGTCAAAATAAATTATTTTTGTTTATTCATTATGTTATCAATTTTAAAATATATATATTATTGTTTGGACTTTCTACAAATAGATGGTCAAATAACTATTGGTTTTTTTCAATTGATTTTTTTTTTTTTCAATTTGATTTATTTATATGAACTCAAATAATTATTCAATCTCTTATTTAATTATCTATATTTGTCTGTAGAAGTCATACCAAAAAGGCATTATAGAATTATTCTAAATTATAGAAAATAATGTTGTCTAGTTGGCAGCCATATGTGTTGAAACTCATTTGTCTACAGTTATATAAGTGGATGAAGTTAGCATAGACTAGTTTTCAGTTTTTTCTATCTCTGCTCACTACATAAAGGACTAGGCTTAATTTTCGTTGTTATATACAAATATGTCAAGGCTATTTAAAGTCTCTTGTTTTGGTGTTTATACCAAAAGAGAAATAATAAAATACATAGCTATACTGTTTGTCTATCTGCATGCCATGTCCATGATGAGATAAGGCGAGAGAACTGAGTGGAAGTCATTGCTTCCACTACATCTCATTAGTTTTAATAATGAAAAAGATTGTTTATACTGATTATTAAAAAAATAGTGTTTATACTGATTATTAAAAAAAATAGGATTTCTTGTCTGCAATTAGCAAAAAAAAAATATATTAGTATATATCTTTAAACATAATTGCATGAAAATATGTATTTTTAATCTGTATATAATGCAATTATATATACATATAACTTATAAGAAAAAATGTTCTGTAGTTTTCATAATCATATAGCAGGGAACACTTTCTATCATTTCACTTTTTCAATATATTTCAATATCACAAACTTCATTTAAACTTCTGAAATTACAATGTGACATCCGTAAGCAAGCATATGTTGTTATTACCCATGTTGCTTGGTCATTGTGCTTCTATGTGAATGTTTTCTATGTATTGAATGCATATCTGTCCTTTCAGCTTGTGCACTTGGAAGACGCTATCACGCATCGTGACGAATTAATCGAAGAACTGACAATCTCATTACAGCGGTCTGTTCGAGAACGTGACGACCTGAGACATGAGAATGTTCACCTCACTAACGAGGTGCAGAATTTACAGCATATCGTTGGAGAAATGTCGAACTCCGAGCACGACACTGTCAAGGGGCAGCTGTCAGACTTTATGAAGTACCAGAGTATGGTTAAGGATGACAGCACCAAGTTTTATTCAGCTCTGATGAGCGGGGGTTCCTCTCTGCAAAGTTCTAACGGCGAGAAGGATATGGATAGAGAAGAGATCACAGTTAACTATTCAAGATCTGACTTGAAATCTTCTGGTTCCTCAGAAGACTTTCAAACTGGATTCGAAACCAAACTAACGACGATAATAAACAAGTTTGACGACTATATAGAAGAGAATTTGAGGAATAAACTTCGCGAGAGCATGATACAAGTATTATGCGACGAAATCGGTAAAATTAGGATAGAATCTGATACAGAAATTAAGGATTTAGAAGCGCAAATACAACAAGACAAACAATCATATAATGTAGAGACACGACGACTTAGAGAACTGCTAGCGTCTGTTAAGGCAGGAAACGCTGATATAGACGCTTTAAGACAGGAACTTAGCTTGAAACATGAGAAAGAGATGGAGAATTTAAGGACATATTTTGAGAAAAAATGCACTGATATGGAGAGGAGGTATGTGATTTTATTTTATTAATATTAAATTACGTAAAGAATTATAATTTACTAATAAGCTTTATTTTCTTTTGCAACCAAGGCCAAAAAGAAGGTATGTTGTACTTTGTTATTACTAAACTATTGATTGTAATAATGATAAATAAAGTATAAAAACACTAACGAACTTTAGAACATAGAGTAATTTTACTAATATTTAATACCACGTCCGCAAAAGTAATAATACAATTTTAATGCAAATGTAAAGGAAGTACAGAACGCAAGAAGCGTTTTATAAGTACCAAGTTATCCTGTATGATGTAATATTGATATAAGTATATAATTATTTTATTTATGTATAATATAAGTTCACTTTAAAAGCAATTGTAATTTTTCTATTGATGTAATTGGTAAGGATGTCGGCTCACACAATCGTCGCTTATATACCTGAACAGCGCTACGATCGTTATTATGTGACGCTTGTGATACTGCTCATGGGTTGCCATTCTAGAGGACTCAAGTAGTTATGCCTTTTAATCCTGTAATTTGACTGCCTTATCTCTTCTACTCTTCAAAATACTCTTTTAAAATGTCATGACGGATGACACCATTTGTACTGTACTTAGTATACAATATTTAGTTTATCTTACTGGTCCTAATTAATTGCAAGTATTGCTGATACATTTATAGCAGCTAGGTAACTGTATCCCTTACATAGCTTACAAAGAAATCTGCTGCTCACAAGAGACCGATTTACTGTCAGGTGGGGTATTAGCTTGATTACTATTCCAATAACATAACAAAATGCTAGGTTGAGATTGTTAAGAATGGCCGTGTACGTTGCAGTTACTCGGAGGAGGTGTGGCGCGGGCGGGAGTGCGCGTCACCGGCGTCCTCGTCGTCGGAGGCGGGCGGCGACCACGCGCGGAGACGCACACGCAGCGCTGAGTTCCCGTCGCTCTCGTTCGAGGTAACACGCTTCAAGTTTCCAGCGCTGAGTTCCCGTCGCTGTCGTTCGAGGTAACACGCTTCAATTTGAAGCGCTGAGTTCCCGTCGCTCTCGTTCGAGGTAACACGCTTCAATTTCAAGTGCTGAGTTTCCGTCGCTGTCGTTCGAGGTAACACGCTTCAATTTCAAGCGCTGAGTTTCCGTCGCTGTCGTTCGAGGTAACACGCTTCAATTTCAAGCGCTGAGTTTCCGTCGCTGTCGTTCGAGGTAACACGCTTCAATTTCAAGCGCTGAGTTTCCGTCGCTGTCGTTCGAGGTAACACGCTTCAATTTGAAGCGCTGAGTTCCCGTCCCTGTCGTTCGAGGTAACACGCTTCAATTTCAAGCGCTGAGTTTCCGTCGCTGTCGTTCGAGATAACACGCTTCAATTTGAAGCGCTGAGTTGCTCCCTGTCGTTCGAGGTAACACGCTTCAATTTGAAGCGCTGAGTTCGCCCTGTCGTTCGAGATAACACGCTTCAATTTGAAGCGCTGAGTTCCCCTGTCGTTCGCTTCAATTTGAAGCGCTGAGTTCGTTCGAGGTAACACGCTTCAATTTGAAGCGCTGAGTTCCAGTCCCTGTCGTTCGAGATAACACGCTTCAATTTGAAGCTGAGTTCTCGTTCGAGGTAACACGCTTCATATTCAACCGCTGAGTTCCCATCAGCTGTCGTTCGAGGTAACACGCTTCAATTTCAAGCGCTGAGTTTCCGTCGCTGTCGTTCGAGATAACACGCTTCAATTTGAAGCGCTGAGTTTCTCTCGTTCGAGGTAACACGCTTCAATTTCAAGCGCTGAGTTTCCGTCGCTGTCGTTCGTGGTAACACGCTTCAACGTCACGTGCTGAGTTTCCGTCGCTCTCGTTCGAGGTAACACGCTTCAATTTGAAGCGCTGAGTTCCCGTCGCTCTCGTTCGAGGTAACACGCTTCATATTCAACCGCTGAGTTCCCATCAGCTGTCGTTCGAGGTAACTCGCTTCAAGTTTCCAGCGCTGAGTTCCTGTTGCTCTCGTTCGAGGTAACACGCTTCAAGTTTCCAGCGCTGAGTTCCCGTCGCTGTCGTTCGAGGTAACACGCTTCAATTTCAAGCGCTGAGTTTCCGTCGCTGTCGTTCGAGGTAACACGCTTCAATTTCAAGCGCTGAGTTTCCGTCGCTGTCGTTCGAGGTAACACGCTTCAATTTCAAGTGCTGAGTTCCCGTCGCTGTCGTTCGAGGTAACACGCTTCAATTTCAAGCGCTGAGTTTCCGTCGCTGTCGTTCGAGGTAACACGCTTCAATTTAAAGCGCTGAGGTCCCGTCGCTCTCGTTCGAGGTAACGCGCTTCAATTTCAACCGCTGAGGTCCCGTCGCTCTCGTTCGAGGTAACGCGCTTCAATTTCAACCGCTGAGTTCCCATCACTGTTGTTCGAGGTAACACGCTTCAATTTTAAGCGCTGAGGTTTCCGTTCGAGGTAACGCGCTTCAATTTCAACCGCTGAGGTTCGCTCTCGTTCGAGGTAACGCGCTTCAATTTCAACCGTGAGTTCCCGTCGCTCTCGTTCGAGGTAACACGCTTCAATTTCAAGCGCTGAGTTTCCGTCGCTGTCGTTCGAGATAACACGCTTCAATTTCAAGAGCTGAGTTCCCGTCGCTGTCGTTCATGGTAACGCGCTTCAATTTCAACCGCTGAGTTCCCGTCGCTCTCGTTCGAGGTAACACGCTTCATATTCAACCGCTGAGTTTCCGTCGCTGTCGTTCGAGGTAACACGCTTCAATTTCAAGCGCTGAGTTTCCGTCGCTGTCGTTCGAGGTAACACGCTTCAATTTGAAGCGCTGAGTTTCCGTCGCTGTATTTCGACGTAACATGCTTCAAAATTCAAGAACTATTTTACAGCTTCTGTTACCTAGTTCCGATTCCCTTCTTTGCTGAATATATAAATGTTAGTGGTCACTATATTCTCCCTAATTTGTACATGAATGTGTACAATGTTATTTGAAAGGACTAAGAGCTGAGCTACAGTTCTTAGATCGGAACTACATTCCGAACTGTAGATTTGACTTATCATAAGTATCTATATGATTAAACATATTTTGATAATTTATTTTATTCATTTTTCAGTCGACACCGTTGGAACAAGGTCTGAAGCAAATGTGCAAAAAGTATGAACAGCAAATCGAGGAGCTGAAGGCGGAGCACGTGGCGTATGTTCAAGACATACAGGCGCGGCATGCTGAAACTGTATCTTCTTTAGATGACCAGGTTAGCAGCTATGGAATATACTGTTTTAAGTTTGACGCGGTCATCATTTAGAAGTATAATCAGTAAATCACGGGATCTTACCAAGTAACCGGCTATAGACTCTATTGTGCCTGGAATCCAGTGATTGGTTTAATTAAACAAAACATAAAACGCGATCAGAAAGTGTATTAAGACGTGATGATACTGTGAGTATAGTTTGCCAGATGAATATCGAGTAAGTTCCAATAGTAGCAAGAAATGAAGACGTGTGAAGGTAGACGAATATGTCTGCCCATAAAAGATTTATTTACCATCTACCTGCTGCTGTTCAGTTTACCCGTGATCATGAAACACTGCCTGAATATCGGGAAGTCAATAAAAATAGAATGTGGTAAGATGCCGTGATTTACTAATTATAGCTATGGAATGTTTATATCCGAAAGGGGCTGCAGGGGCATAGCTCTTTTTTATCTATTTGTCTATATATCGATGTATAAAATCTTCAAAAGATCGTCTCCTCGCTGGTGGGGTAACTAAGGGGTGTGTGGGATTCATACCCATTAAAAACACGAGTACCTACGAGCGCCACTTTTTTTTTGTGGATTATGTTAAATCGAGGAAATCGTTATATTGAGGTACGTTATATTAAGGTTGCACTGTATCTATCTAATAGTAATAATAATAATAATTACAATGGACAATTCACACAACACCCTCTAGACGCACTAGACGCTGCCGACACACAACGCTGAACAATTGATTTTTTTTATGGATGTTAAATGTTATTAAATCAACAGATCACAAAACTCAAACTCAAGGCGCACATACTGACATCAGAGAATACTGACGCCAACGTATCAGTTTACCAGCAAGACATTGACTTGGAATTGGAGAAGGTCAGTCCACTAACGCATTTATATTGTATGTATATGTGGTGTTTGTGTCTTCTGAACTAAAATTGTCAAATAAGGAAACAGAGGAACTTGTGGTACATGGTAGCCATTTCCTGGTATTATATATACACAGATAACTGAAGTTAGCAACCCTGAAATATCTATATAAGGGTTCTTGGATAAAGATCACTGAACATTTCGTGCGCAGTTTGCTTCCTTAATATTTTGTATATATTTTTTTATATTAATGGCATGCTTGTGTTCTCTTACCAATGTATTTTTTAACATATTTTACCATTGTACCATATTCCTTGTGTATATTAAAAAAAATAAAATCCAGAACGTAAATTGGATTAGTTTAATAGGGGAATAATTTACTTCTTTTCGTATTTAAATTCTTCCAATTCTTTACAAAGAGAGACATATTTATAAAAAAATGCTCATTTCTTTTAAAAAGAAACAGTGACATTCCAATTCAAAATGCTGTAATAACTGTACTGAAAAGGAATCTAAAACTAACAATAATTATATACATTATGTTTTGATGTTGTCGCTAATTTGTTTTTTGTGTAAATAGTGTAACAAACATTGCATGCAGGGGACAGAGATATATAAATTAGCTTACTGTGGCTTATGGTGGCATAGGATCTAAACTCTATCGGTATAAGGTTCATAGTTGCAACGCAACAATCTTAAACTCATTTGTAAAGACTAAGCCAACTATACCTAACATATAAATTCAGAAACAATTTATTATTATTTTATAATGTCATTATTTCTCATATTATCTGTATGAATATGAATAATGTTAAATTGAAATAATTAAAAATAGTAATAAACTGACAATATGTACATAGAAATAATGATCTTATATACTAATTAACAATAGGAAAATGTAAGGTGGGGTAACACAGTTTCGACAAAGCAGTGCTTAGTAGACAATATTGAATTTGTCTTACTAGACATTATTAAATGCAATTATTATTTTGATGTATCTAGTCCCTGTAACTGTGTCCCATAAAGTCTCTTATGTTTAAAAACATATAATAGACTTAACTATTTAAACCTCATTTATTAAAAAATTAAATTACTTTGATAATTTTTTTTTACCGCTCAAAACCGCTTTTATTGTACTCCATAATATAAAAGCGGTTTTTATTCATGTCAAAAGTAGTACATATATTAATTTACTAGTAAAAATGTATGATAATAAAAATAATCATCAAAGCCGGTTTTAAAATATTTTTGAAGTGTTAAACCGTTTCACCCGAGTCCCAGAAGAATGCTAAAGCCATCGTGACTGAGGCAATAACGGTTTAGAGGTACTAAGTAGGGTAGTTTCTGGAATAACACACATTTCTACACGTAACAAGAAGTTCGAAAAGATTTTGTAAGATTATTGTTCCTCACACAGAAAAAAAAACATTTACATTAACTAATATTTATACTAATGTATAAAAAAAAAACATAATTACAATAAGTATAGGTAACAATGGGCGGCTTTATCGCTATATACTATATAGCAATTTCTTCCAGCCAACCTTAAACTTTTTAAATCACTAATTTTTTAAAAAAAATCATCAACGAATTTCTATTACTTGTAAATATCACAAACGTCTTCTATAACTGTCTCACAACACTTTGTAAATACAACCTATCTAATGCCACGAATCTCTCTCCTGCATGCATGAAATGCGACTAACACGCTCGTGTGTGACTAAACCGGGCGACTGTCGGCCGACTGTTGCGCGACTGTCGCCGGAATTAGAAGAGGGAAGTGCAGCTCGAACAGAGGATAGAAGAAGTACGCCAAGAGGTTATCCAGCAGCTACAAGAACAGCTACAGGTATGTTTGTATTATTATGGGATTTAATAACATTTTTAAAAAATTCTTTTGACGTGCAGGTTGCTTATGGGTTTTAATAAATTATTCATTAGGTATTCAAAGGGACATACATTCATTGTAACATTAATAGAAGTGCGTAAAACTTCAACATAATTTCATTTAAAGTCAACGATTATCGAAATTGCAACGTCCTTATCTGAGATTCGAAACCCTAAAGGTGCCCTAAGAATAAGTTGCATCCGCAAGAGGAGATTGTCTTTAGATGCTCCATATTTAAACATTAATGGAAATGGGTACAGCCTTCAACGTAGTTGAGAATCACAGATCAATCCCCAGTCTCTTCAAACGAGCATCGAAATTACAACGTCCTTAACAGAGATTCGTAATCCTAAAAGTGCCCTCAGACTAAAGTTATATCTGCTAGAGAGGACATATTCTTAAATGCTCCATGTTTAAACATAAATGGAAATAGGCACAGCCTTCAACGTTGTTGATAAATCTCAGATCGATTCCTTGTCTTATTCTAACGAGGACGAAATTACAACTTCCTTATCGAAACCCTAAAGGTGCCCTCAGACTAAAGTTGCATCGGCTACAGAGGAGATGCTCCATATTTAAATGTTAATGGAAATACCTAGGCTGTACCAATTACGTTGAAAATTGAAAATCTCAGATCGATCCCTTATCTTATTCTAACGAGGACGAAATTACAACTTCCTTATCCTAGATTCGAAACCCTAAAAGTGCCCTATGACTAAAGTTGTATCCGCTATGAAGTAGTTGGTCTTTAGACGCCCGGTGAAGCTGTAAAGGCCATCTGAGAGACAGAGACAATACCCATAGTGGTTTTTTTTAACTCAAACTTAATTTTTCGAACATAAAAAGAAATGAACATCGTCTTTTATATAGTTTAAAAATAAATCGATAATACGCCGTCTCTGTTTCAATGGGTATCGATTCGAATCCTGAGCCGTTGTTTGTATATCCAAAGGTAGGCGATAGACTGATAACTCTATAACTAGTAATGTCCCATATCAGATTGACCTCCATGCATGTGCTAACGGTTTACGCTGGCGGTGCACCAGTGGAGGATGATAAGATGAGCATGAGGTCAGGTCAGTTAGCCCATCGTGACAAATTCACCAAGAATTTATCACGATGGTTTCCAGGGGGAACCGCGTGTGGACCTCCACGTTCAAGGTCTGACATGGTACATTGCTAGCAATAAGATCATCAGTCCACATTACTAACAATCTCTTTCCCCCCTAACTGATATGTATTTAAATAAAGATTATAGGATCACGCAGTTCCCCTGGAAACTATCTAGATAAATTCCCGGTGAATTTGTCACGTTGGCTAACTGACCTGACCTCATGTTCAACCTATCATCCTCCACTGGCACCCCGCCAGCGTGTAAACCATTAATGATCTTATTGCTAGCAATGTACCATGTCAGGTTGACAACCATGCGGTTCCGGGGGAAAGCGGATTGTTAGTAATGTGCACTGGTGATCTTATTGCTAGCAATGTACCATGTCAGGTTGTTCTCCATGAAGTCCCCCTAGAACTGCTAACTGACCTGACCTCATGTTCAACCTATCATCCTCCACTGGCACCCCGCCAGCGTGTAAACCATTAATGATCTTATTGCTAGCAATGTACCATGTCAGGATGTTCTCCATGAAGTCCCCCTAGAACTGCTAACTGACCTGACCTCATGTTCATCCTATCATCCTTCACTGGCACCCCGTCAGCGTGTAAACCATTAATGATCTTATTGCTAGCAATGTACCATGTCAGGATGTTCTCCATGAAGTCCCCCTAGAACTGCTAACTGACCTGACCTCATGTTCAACCTATCATCCTCCACTGGCACCCCGCCAGCGTGTAAACCATTAATGATCTTATTGCTAGCAATGTACCATGTCAGGATGTTCTCCATGAAGTCCCCCTAGAACTGCTAACTGACCTGACCTCATGTTCAAGCTATCATCCTCCACTGGCACCCCACCAGCGTGTAAACCATTAATAATCTTATTGCTAGCAATGTACCATGTCAGGATGTTCTCCATGAAGTCCCCCTAGAACTGCTAACTGACCTGACCTCATGTTCAACCTATCATGCTCCACTGGCACCCCACCAGCGTGTAAACCATTAATAATCTTATTGCTAGCAATGTACCATGTCAGGATGTTCTCCATGAAGTCCCCCTAGAACTGCTAACTGACCTGACCTCATGTTCAACCTATCATCCTCCACTGGCACCCCGCCAGCGTGTAAACCATTAATAATCTTATTGCTAGCAATGTACCATGTCAGGTTGTTCTCCACGAAGTCCCCCTAGAAACCGTCGTGATAAATTCCTGGTGAATTTGTCACGTTAGGCTAACTGACTTGACCTCATGTTCATCCTATCATCCTCCACTGGCACCCCGCCAACATTAACCATTAGTGCACGCGGGTGCACCAATTCATAACCATCCATTAAAAAGAAACAAACAAACCACTATCACATTTATGATATACTAGCTTTGCTCGCGGTTAGACCCGCGTGAAATTTACGGCCTTCTGGCTACCCACCTCGGCTTCGCACGGGTGTACTTGTATTATACATATAAACCTTCCCCTTGAATCACTCTATTAAAAAAAACCGCTTCAAAATCCGTTGCGTAGTTTTAGAGATTTAAACATACATAGGGACAGACAGACAGCGTGTAACGATATGTTATTCTACAAATTCAAAAATCATTTATTCATGTCATTATATGAACTCATGTTATATAGATCGAGAAGAACTATGTTATTTTTTTTTTTTAAAGCTGATATATAAGATATATTACTGTAAAGTTTCATCCAAATCCGTTCAGTAGTTTTTGCGTGAAAGAGTAACAAACACCCATTCATACTCAGAAACTTTCGCGTTTATAATATTACTTGTTTTTAACCACGGCTTCGCTCGCATAACTTCATTACTGGCTGCTAGACGGCGCTGAAGTAGTAAAATGTTGATTTTTTTAAATTAAAAATATTCTATGTTCATTCTAATACCTCCAAGAACATATGTACTAAATTTCATAATGATCGGTTCAGTAGTTTTTGCGTGAAAGAGTAACAAACATCCCTACTTTCCCCATTTATAATATTACTAAGAATTCAGATTAAGATCTGTTTAATTTAAAATACACAATGAAATGTTGTCTTGTACATTATAAATTAAATAATAATAATAATAATAATCTCAGGACAATTCACATAGCGCCATCTAGGCCCAAGTTAAGCTAGCTAAAGCTTGTGTTATGGGTACTAGATAACTGATACAAATACATAGATTTTTTTTTTTAAAAATACATACATATTATACATAGAAAACACCCAGACCGATACAAAAAATCATACTCATGAATACAAATGTTTGTGCCGTGCGAGGAAACGAACCCGCGACCATCGGTCGTAAAGCGGTGTGCTAGACCACTAGAGCACCGAGGTCGTCAAATCTAAAAATATAATATATACAAAATAGAACGAGACAAATTTACTTCTATTTATAAATACACATATGTGTATTTATAAATAGAACTGACATAATAAATACCAATTCTTACTATATTCATATACCCAGTCTTGATTGTGGTGCAGTAAATATTCCGGCCTATCAATATTTATTACAATTTTCCTCTAAGCGGCTGACGTAAATCATGACTATACAAAATTGTATCTCTACATATACTAATATGATACATAATATGACGGCCTCGGTGGTCCAGTGGTTTACCAGATCGTATTACTCCCGATGGTTACAGGTTCGATTCCTCGCACGCCACAAATACTTGTATTCATGAGTATTTTATTTATTTAAACTTTATTACATTGTACAATAGGCGGGCTTAATGCTATTAGCATTCTCTATTAGTATGCATGAGTATGATTATTTGTATCGGTCTGGATGTTTTCTATATGTATTATATATGTGATTATAAAAAAAAATCTATGTATTTATATCAGTTGTCTAGTACCCATAACACAAGCTCTGCTTAGCTTGAGACTAGATGGCGCTGCGTGTATTATTCTTAAATATCATTATTAAAAATTGAAAATTCTTTATTAAAAAAAAATATATTTAAGCACTTAAAAAGAAGCATTGAATAGTATTTATTTTTTGAATCGGGAAACTGTCTCATCATAAAAAGAACTAGCAATAACTTGCGTGTTGCTCTGTTTAAAAAAAATGAATACAATCTTTAAAAGCCCATTCAATATAACAAATTAACGTACAACCAATCTTCACGCACTTGACCTATTATTCTGTTGGAGTCGAATTTAAAAAGCTCTATTTAAAAAATATATGAACATTAATATTTCGTAAAATTACAAAACGGTGTCAAGAATGCAAACAACGTAGCACTATAAAGAGATTTATATTTAGTTACTACCGATTACTAAGCGGCTGATAAAGTGGTTTTCTATATCAACGGTCGTTAGTACGAATCCCCTAAAAAAACCTAGAACAATTCACACAGCGCCGTCTAGTCCCAAACTAAGCAGAGTTTATAATAATAATTTAGTTATTTGCTTGCTACATGGCACAGTTTTGAATTTTACTAACTAATAAAAGTTCATATCGACGGCCAAATAGAAAAATGGCAGTTTTCAAAATGTACATTTTTTACAAGATATAGAGCAATCATTTATAGTTTTTAAATTAATTTAAATTATTTTTCCCTTTAAAGTTTTAAATTTACACAGAAATATTATACATAATTTTAAAAGTATTTAGATATAGATTAAGTCGGCGTGGATATAACAATTAAAGTCAAAACACCTAAGATTTTACTAAAAAAATGTAATTTTTCTCTTTAATCGACGATATATGACATGTACGTCATGACATTTGTATTCATGAGTATGATGTTTATGTCGGTCTGGGTGTTTTATATGTATATATGTGTGTATTTACGAAAAACAAAATATATTTGTATCTCAGGACAATTCACACATCACT